TGGGGGCGGAGGCGGAGGCGGAGGCGGAGACGACAGACGCTGTGTCCGCCGCTTGAGCCGTTCAAAGGCGATGTGCGCCTCGTCCCGCTCCTCCTCCGCCCGCCGCAGCCGCGCGCGAAGGCTTGACAGCTTCTTCGTGAGCCGCTCCACCTCGTGCGCCCCTTCCACGCGCTTCTGAAAATCCTCGCAGAGCCGCTGCATTTCCAGCATCTTCTCTCTACTCAGTCGTGTCAAGGCATCGTTCTCCCGCCTGAGCTTATCGTTCTCCGCCCGCAGCTTTGTAATGATGGCGGCCTGACCGCTGCTGTTGCTGCTGCTGTCAACCTCGGCTCTCGTTGGCTCATCGTCCTGTGGTGTCACGCATTGCTGTTGGTGCTGCTGCCGCAGTTGGTGGTGGAGTTGTGGGCAAACGGAAGTGCGTCGCTGGGGCTCCGCATTGTTCGCTGCTGCTGCTGCTTCTGCTGCCGCTGCCGGTGTCCTCTCCACAAGGGGCACCGGAAACACGGCGCGCGTGAAGTCAACGTCGTAGTCTAGAGTGAAGAAACGCTGCGTGCGAGACGACTCCGGGAGTTGGCTGGTCTCGCTGTCGTCAGTAACGCAGTTGCGGCCGCGCTGCGCCACCTCCGCAGTGATGCGGCTCTTCATCTCCTCACACGTCTCAATGAAGAACTTGACGCACGGAGAGCGCCCAATCATGGCGTTGTACGTCATGTCCGCGAAGGCGGCGAACTCCTTCCGCACTCCTGCTGCCGTTGTGATCTCCGCCACGTGGCACTCGCGCAGCACCGCAGCGTAGTGGATGGTGGGTGACGGCTCGAAGGAGGACACCTTCGGCACCACATCTATGCACATCGTCTCCATGTCGCTCTTGTACCGGACGAGGTAGCGCCCGCAGGGTGAATGGACGCAGCACTCCATCATGTACGCCGCAATACTCTACACATACACGCACACAGAAAGCCAGAAAAGGAGAGATAAAGAGCAGACGCATTGGAAAAAGGAAAGGGGAAAAAAAGAGAGAAAAAAAAGGCAGACAGATAGGCTCATTCATAGCACGCTGTCAGGGCAACTGGCAGGAGGAAAGCTTCGTCATGCCGCCGAAGTCCTTCAGCCCCCCACCAAGTCTAGCACGTCCCTCGCTTCCGCCCGGCCCGCGGCGTGTCAGCGTATTGTCGCGGTGTCGACTCGCGCGTGACGGCGCGCAACTGCTCCGCCGCCTCCGCAACGTAATCGCTGCTGCTGCCTGCCTGCACGTGCGGCACCTGCCAAA